AAGCAAACAAAACAAAAGAACTGTTAATCTGTGCGGACTATACTGGTCCTGGCTTCCGACTTCAGAGTCACTTCTGCACTCATTGCTCCTATTAGGGAAAATATGTCAGAGAGCATAATTCGGGCACGGAACCGAAGCATTCCCCCTTTGTGGGTAGGCTAGAGTTCGGGGTGTAATTGCTAGGGAGGGTTATCGTGTCTTCCTCGATGGGGATTTTGTTAGGCATCTTCCTCCTCCACACATTCTTCCTATACTGCTTGGAAAATCTTTAGGACAACGATGCTCTAAAAACAAAGCCTCAGCCAGCACAACAGCTATCTCCTGTGCCCTCGCCAGGCAGCCACTAGGGGGCACGCTCAGCGTCCTCTGCATAGCCACCCCAGCTGCAGCAAAGCGAACCTAGGTTCCGAAGTCCCGGAGCAAAGCCAGTTTATCTCTGCCTCTGCCGAGCTCACAGGGGGCTAAAAGCTTCGAAGGCTTTGGATGGCTTTACTGCTACGACCTACCTTGTACTATTGGTAACGTCCTCTGTCAGTTCTAACCGTCTGGGTCTGGAGTGACCACAGTACCCTGACCCTGGGCATTCGAGGATGACACTCAGAATTACCCAAGTATCTCCAGGCTGCATTTTGGGGAGGGGGATAGGTAGGCACCTTCTGAACATGCCGTGGGGTTTGTTTCTGATAGATGCCCTTCTGTGCGGGCCATGAGATCACCAGACCGGCAGCCATCAGGTCTCCTTAAGCCTCAGAAAGCAGGCTTAGCCTGCTACAAAAACTACAATCGCTAATTATCGCCACAGGCACCTCTCAATCTCACTGCATTTCCTCTCCTCATGGGATGTAGTTACCCCAACGAAAAATGCACAAAGCAACTATTGCACCACCGAAGGGACAAATAAAGTCTGTGAGAAAGATGTCGCTCAGAGCCTTCTGGTGACTGTCCCCAAGTCCTGTTGACTTCACATCCTGCTGGTGTGTGTGTGTGTGTGTGTGTGTGTTCCGATTACCCCAGTTCACCCCCACCGTTCATCCCTGGAGGCTCTGGGACTCTCGGTTGCCTCCAGATAACGGGTTATCCCTTAGCCACGCTGGGAGAAAGTCATTCCAGGCCTTGACCCCAGCCTCTAAGGCGGACACGGTCGGTCGCGCCCTGCCGGCCCTTTGTTCAAAAGGCAGAGGGCTAGGAGCAGCTGAACCACGGGAGAGCCACAGTGCAGGGTGCCAGGAAATTGGTGTGGCGCCGCCGCCTTCTCTTCCCACTCTGGAGCCCAGGAACCCTTCCAGCCCTGGCATCTCTCGTGCCCAGTCTCGGCCCCCCTATCTCTCCAGCCAGAATTCTTCAGGGGTTAAACAAATGCGGTTCTTGGGGCCCAGCCTAGTATTCCTGCCTGACTTTCGCTGCCGGGGCAGCACCGGACACTTGAAATGTCACCGGTCGGGATAAATATTAACACAAAAGCAAATGGACATGTGCAGAGCCAGTTATCAATCAACCAAGTTATCAATCAGCAAGGCCACTCACAGCAAACACAGCCCAGGTTGGGTTGAGTAAGACTTTCTCAGGGCCACTTCCAGGCAGAACTCCCACCTCCCGTCCCCAATTTAGGTCTGCCTCTAGCACAGAGGGGCAAACACCCGACCGCAAGGGGGCGAAGTACCGGGTGCTGAAGGGCTCTGGAGGTCTTCTCACCTCTGACAGGGTCTGCACACAGCCTTGCCAGGGCTGAGGACCTGAGCCGACACCGCTTCCTGCGTGCAATGCACACTGCCAGAGCCGCACTCACTTGTGGGTGTCTCTTGCGGTCTCTTCCTGTGCTGCCAGCTCCCGCCAAGGGGCCAAAGCCTTCTGGAATATTTAATTGGAAGCTAATCTCCTCCTGTCTTGATAGACGCCCACACCAGAGGCGGGGCACCCAGCTTAGCTTCCCCACCCCACTCGGGACCAGAAGCTGAGTGCGTCTGGTCACGCTGCGTTTTAATGAGCAGCGGCACGCATTACGTTGAGGCAACATATATTGATTTTTAAAAGGTAGTTAATTTGGTGAGAATTTCCTCCAGTCTTTCACCAGCGCTTGTAATTTATACACCCTTCTGGCGCCTCCCCAAACATACTGCCACGTGCGGAGGATTTTGACTCTCCAAACAAGCTACGTGGAACACGGGCACAGGAAGGCAATCGAAGAAGCTTCCCTTTCCACTGGAGAGTGGAGGAACTCGGTCCGGCCTTAGGAGGGGGCTGAGAAAAGATGAGGGTTTAGTCTTAAGTGCAACAGCTAGCAAAGCTTCAGTGGCTGGTGCCAGGGAGCAGGCCCTGAGTTCCTGCAGCGGCCATGCCAAAGCATCAGGCTATCGGTCCTTAGACTCCATCACTGAGACCATCCCAAGGACCAGAAACCCACTTCTCTTAAGAAGGGGGGGGAAGGAAAGAGGGAAGGCAGGCAGGAAGGAAGGGAGAAAGGAAGGAAGGAAGGAAGGAAGGGAGGGAGGAAGGGAGGAAGAGAGGGAGGAAGGAAGGAAGGGAGGAAGGAAGGGAGGGAGAGAGGAAGGAAAGGAGGGAGAGAGGAAGGAAGGGAGGAAGGGAGGAAGGAAGGAAGGAAGGAAGGAAGGGAGGAAGAAAGGAAGGGAGGAAGGGAGGAAGGAAAGAAGGGAGGAAGGGAGGAAGGAAAGAAGGGAGGAAGGCTGGCTGTGACTTCTGTGGCAGAATGGATGGTTCTGGGTACCCTTGCCTGAACACCCACTCCCTTACTGAAGTCCAATGCTTCTTACTCCTTTATGTTACCGAAACAAAAACGAATGAGGTGGTGCTCCCCTGTCTCAGGACAATGTCCTTTTGTTGGTGTTGGCTGGAGCCTCCTACTTTCCACACATTCTAGGAAAAGGCCACATGCTTGGAGCCAAGAATAACAGAGCTAGCCACTGGACCTAGTGTACAGACACTCTTTGATGACCTTCTGGATCCCCTGAGCACCTGCTCAGCACCCAACTCATGCCTTTGGTGTGCAGGTTCTAGAACTTGGCCTTCCCTCACAGGGCTGCCCAGCACCGACCTTCCCCCCTACCCAGCTGTTTTCTTATCTGGGGGTCAGAGGGCCTTGCACAGGATAGACAGGTTAGGTTTCCAAGACTGGGCACTCATCTCAATACAGGACCTAACTCAGGTCCTACCAGAGTGTGACAGAATACCAAGTGGGGTGTCACTGATATCTGAAGTGTTTTCACCAAGTGCTGGGATGGGACTTTCGGGAAGGAGCACGCTTTTTTAATGCACACTTCGGTGTCCCACACCGACTAGCCTCAGAACACTACATGCCTGGAAGGTCACAGCACTGGCTCCAAGAGGGTGGATGGGGGCTTCTAAAGGCGGAGCAGTCCGGAGAGCAGCAAGATCAGCTGCTCCGCGGGAACTCAATGGGCCCACCAGGGGCTCCAAAGCTACATAAAGTCATAGTGGAACCGTGAGGCTTAGGCGCGGCATCGGATTTGGTTGGCCCAGCCTCGCTTTTCCTTTGCCTCATCAGAGCCCTGGGCGCACTAACCCGAGCCTGCCTTGAGAACCTTGGAGCGAAGGACTGAGCGCAAAGGCTGGACATTCTAGGCGGTCAGATGCTGGACCAGGGCGGCACCTACCACCGAAGGCCTCTAGAGCCCAGATGCAGGGAACACTCGGGTAGCCTCGCCGGCTAGGATCCCAAGCTTGTCCGCACCTGCCTCTCCCCAGTTTCTCATTGGCAGGCACCGGGTGGGGGGAGGGGGGGCTCGGCCTCATGCTTTGATTTTAGTCGGTGAAACGGCTCAGTGCCCTCGGCTCAGAGCGGATTGACTGTCTCTCATTCTCTAGGGACGAATTAATGGAGAACGATCAGTTAATTAACAAACCCTCATTCTAGCGTTTACCTTTCTCTTCACCAAGACTCAGACTTGGGCTCAGGGCTCAGATGAGGCTGTGTGTGTGGCTTGAGGCGGGGGGGGGGGTGCGGAGTCGGGGGCGCGTGGACATGGGAGTCAATCAACGCGGCAACCTCCACCCAGGTCTCAGGAACACAGTTCGCCCCTAGGCTGCCCTCTTCTTTCGTCTTCAAGGGTCGCTGAGTGTGCCTGAATCCCTGGTGCGGTTCATCATCGGGGCTCAGCTGTCCACTAGGTCTCTTGGCCCTCTACAGGAGCCAGGCCTGGTGCCTGGACTTGGCAGCTGAGACTTTCAGTGCTCAAAAATCAAACAGCCGGCTAGGGATTTTGAACTGGGGGACTGGCTTGCTGATTTGGGGGATATTCACACACTCCCAGCTAGTAGCACAGAGACTTAGATGAAAAAAAAATCACGAAAACGAAACAGCAAGTTTGTCAGGGGTGATCCCTGGGTTCAGCGGGGACCTGGTCACTGTCTGTCTCTCTCTGTCCCTCTCCTTTCCACAGTCGGTTACATGCGCAGCACATTGTGGTAACCCTTCCAAAGCAGCCCGCCACGCATACATCGCCTGCAGGTTTGGAATCTGCGTACACACCCTATCGAAGTGCGGTTCCCCGGACGCGCGACTACAATAAAACAGAGCAAGAGTGGGTCGCCGAAGCCAGCTCAGCCAAATATTGACTGGCAGCTTGGGTAGCGCCAGCCCCGCGCCGGGTATGTGCCCTGAGCAACCTGAGCTAGTTTTAGGCATTCTTCGTCCCTTCCCAAACCCACTATGCTTCGCTGAGAACCACACACCCAATGTTCCACCAGGTTCCAAGAGTCTCTCGGCTTGCGGCTCAGAAGCCTGCAGTTGTGTCCCCTAACACAAATGCGATCCCGAAGTCACCGAGGCCGCCTTGTTCAGTCTTGGAGGCCTCCCACAGCCCGATGCACTGAGTCCCCGAAGGAGAAGGTCAGCTGCCTAAGCCAGCTCTTCCAGGTCTAGGGAAGAAAGGGGAGGCGGAGCGGGACGAAGCGCGCCCAGCCTTCTCTCATTCCCTCCCTCCCACCTTCAGTCCCTTATCTCGCCCACGCGCCCATCGGCTCACCTGCTAAGCGGAGCGCGGACATGCGCTGGAACTCCGGTTCCTGCAGCCACTTCCACATTCTCCGGAAGGTCTCCCGGCCGGACTTGAGTTTGCTCCAGGGCTTGGGGTTTCGCAGCAGGTCCGAAAGGGTCCCCTGGGAACGGCAGAGCACCCTCTGCGCGAAGATGGCCTGTGGGATGCTGTAACGTTTGAGCTCGGTGGTGATACGCTGCGCCACCTCTTTGGTATTGATCTCTTCCATCTGCCCTGAATTACTTCCATTGCTGACCTGCGAGCCGGTCACCGAAGTGTTGGGCTCCCGGGCTGTGCCCAGGAGCTGTCCGTGGCCCTGGGCATTCAGGTGGGCATGGGGATGGTGCGGAGGAAGGCCATTGATGGGCACCATGCCGGCCGAGGTGGGCGTGAGGTGCTGCTCTCCGTGGCGACCGAGCATGGCAGGGTGGTGGGCTTCAAAGCCATTTGGGGTGAGCATCTTGTCGGTGGGCATAGCCGCTCCCGGATGAGCATAGTGGGGAAGCCCTTGCTGGGAGTTGTGAATGCTGCCCAGACCGGAGCCAGAGAGGGGCGAGAGGCTCTGGCCCATGCCAGCCACGTCCTTGTGGTAGGGGGTATAGAGGTTATTCATGGATGCCAGCCCGCGCTCATCCCGCATAAGTGTGAAACTACCGCTCACATTGCCCGCCAGGCGCTGGTGGTGGTGCGGGTGGTGGTGGTGATGGTGGTGGTGATGGTGGTGAGGAAACTTGTCGGACACAGTGGAGATGGGCGGCAGCGGCTGCAGAGGGGTTAAGGTGGTGTAGGTGGTGGGCATGCTCATACCTGGGGGAGTTTCACAGGCCATGGTCATAGTGGGGTGCAGGGGGCCAGTCAGGCTGTGCTCAGGGGCGCGGTGGTGGTGGTGGTAATCGCTGCCTCCGCTGCCGCCGTCCAGCAGGGACGCCATGCCCATGGAACGCGGGTGCGCGGGAGGCAGGTGGCTGCTGCGGTGCCCCACGGAGCTGCGCGCGTGTGGGCTGCCGCCCAGCAGGTCGGCAGGGGCGGGCACCGGCTCATGGCTCACCCCGTGCAGCTCGCCGATCGCCTCCATGGTCAGCTGCGCGTTCATCGTGATGCGGGCGAGCGGGCTGCAACATCGATGTGGCCGGGCAGAGGCGGCGAGGGGTGCACGGAGTCCAGTCTTCACATCGGCTGCCGGCGACTGTGGCCTTTCTTCCTCTCACTGTGGTGATCTGTGTCTCTCGCTCTTTCTCTGTGTGTCTCGCCTTCTCTCTTGCTCCCACCTTCCCCTCTGCTTTTTTTTTTTAATATTAATTTCCAAAAACGACCCGCGCTGTTGGGAGAGCGCGGCGCCCCTAGCCCGCCCAGCCCGGCCCCTCTCGCCCCTCTTCTTCTTAGAGTCGTGCTGCCCCCTGCTCCCTTGACGCGGCCCGTGAGACTGCCGCGGCTGCTGCTTGCCCGCGCCGCCCGCCAGCTCGAGCCATGGCTCGGTTACTGTTGCAGACTGTGGCCGCAATTCGGTAGCCGCCGCCGCCGCCGCTGCCCGCCCTCACGCCCGCCGGGCGCAGCGCGCATGCGCCCTTCCAGGCCCCGCCCCCTCGGTTCCAGCGCACGGGCTCCGTGACGTCCCAGTACAAATGAAGCCGGGGCGGGCGGGGGGGGGGGGGTGGGCGAGCTTTCTCGGCGGCGCCGGGTGGCCCCGGAGAGGTGCGCACGTGCACGGGACGCGCGCGCAGAGCGCGACCTGGAGCCGCCGTCACAGTCCCGGGAGGCTTGCTTTCCCCTGGTCTTCCTCACCGCCTTCCTCTCCCTTCCCAGCCCGACTCTCTTGCCTGGCTCCTGTCCTAGTGGGCCAGCTACGTTAGTTAAGGTCCCTGGATCTGAGTGGCTGTTTCCCGGGGCAGGTTACCCGCGAGGAGCCGGGGACTGTGCCATGGCCCTCACCCACTCGCCCACTGGGCTTTATTCCTTGGAGGGTCGCAGGAGGTCAACTCAGGCCTCATCCTTAAATGCCTTGGCCTACGGGGAGGTGTATACCTTAAAGGCGTGTCAGCGTGACCGTTGTTGAACCTATCATCCTCCCGGGTACTCCTAAATCCACTTTTCCCACCCTAGCCATGGGCAGAGGGACTCAGTGCCTTGAGTTCGGATCGAGACCACACCTCTGTTCCAGACCTCTGAGGAGGTCTTCCGCTATGCTCCCATTTAAGGCGGCTCTCCACTTCGATTAACTGTGCTGGGGAGATGGCGAGGGGGACAGGAGAGAGTGCCTGGATGGGCTTCCTGGTAAACACTGGGGGCTGGTCTCTTAGTGACTCCATAACCTTCCTAGAAAAGCACCTAGAGAACGCTGCTGCTCAAGAGTATCCACGCAGGCTGAGTGCACACGGCCGCGCGGATCTCCGCTTGGCCCGCCCGCAGGGACGCTTCCCTCTTCCTGGCGTCCCTGTAAGAAGCCTCCAGATTTGAAAATCAATTCAGCTCCGGGCATAATTGCGCCCCTGTCACAGTCACGCTCCAATCCGGAATTGAACCCGGGCCTTCAGCCTGGTGGGGACGCGTGGGGAGGCCCCCAGTGTGGGACACACACCCGGCCGCCACATGCCGCGGCTTTCTTTTATTTACAAAAGAAAGAAAGAAAAAAGTCCGTAACAAAAGGCAGAGCCTTGTCTGCTTAGGTGCTTTTATCCCTTGGAGAAAGGACAGATGTGCCCATTGTCAGGCCCTTGGCAGTTACGGCCGGGTCAGCGCCGAGCCTCAGCCCCGGGCTAGCGGTGTTCACAATAAGGATAGCCTCGGAGCCGGGCTTTCAGGGCTCAGCTACTGAACCAAGTGTCTGAGGCCTGCTATGCGCCAAACACAGAGCCCACCGCCTGTGTTTCTTCCCTATAACTGGTTTTCAGAGAGGCTAGGATTGAGTCGTGGTGGTGGAGTCCATGAGAAAAGTTTGGTATGTTGAACCCTGGGGCCAAAATCCTAACAACTAAGGCACAAACCCGCTCATCTCCTTAGCCCAGGTCCCTGCCACCAAGGGCTCAAGATCACTCCAGGTCAGTCAAGGTCAGTAGGTACACTAAGACCTCCTAGAACTCTGGGCTCTGGGACTGACTAAATCTGCTGGGTCACAACAGAAAGGTCCCATCCTACCCAAATAACTCCTGTGGGTACTGCATTTTGTCCACTTGGTCATGATCATTTAGGAATCTGAAGCACCCCCCCCAAGAAAAAGTTTTTTTTGCGGGGGGAGGGGAATACACTAGCCAAAACCACACTAATTTAATTTATTTTTATCATCTCTTCGGACGCATTCAAGCATAAAATATTTTCTATCTAGTGATTTTCTATCAGCTTCAGAAGCCAAATCCATGTTTCTTTATTATTTTTCAACCCATTTCTGTAGTACTTGCCTTTCATATAAGACCAAAGGATGAGTTAAAATAATCTACGATCAACTGTTTCTGCCACCATATTTTAATCCCATTGAAATGATTGATCTGCCCTTATGATCAACTCTTCTTTTAAAAAATGAAAGAAATTAGTAAACAAATTGCTCACGCTGTTGCTCCTCTAGTCAACTGAGACATGATCTTGGAAGCCCTCCCTCATAGAGAGTACTGGCTGAGGCCCTGGAGCCCACGTGTAGAAGGGTGGGATCCAGGGAGCTCAACTCTGCCAGTACAGCAAAGGGCTTTGGTTCCCAAGGAGAAAGGAAGCTCTGGGAGGACCTTTTGGCCTTGACAGACACCCTGCTCCTTACAAACCTAATCTTCCACTGCAGGGCTTGGTTCACAAATTTTGCTTTCTTCCTCTTCCTCCTCCTCCTGCTCCTCTACTTCACACCTTTTATTGAAACACTGTTTTCCTGTGTTTGGTGAGTCAGAAGCTAGGTGTTTTTGACCTCTTAGAAGCATTTCCTGGTGTGTTTTTTTCTCTGACCTCTGAGGGATTGTCAAATGCTGGGGGACTGGGGTTAACTTTTGTTGTCTTGTCTTCTTTCTTCTCAGAGTGCCCAGCACAAAGTTTGGCTCATAGGTGGACTCTAAGGGGTGAGAGAATTAGGTTCTGTGGACTAATTCCTTGAAACTGGAGAGGTGTATGAGGTGGAGGGAAGAGTTAATACTTAATAGCTTCAGTTCTAAGCAACTACAGGAGAATTAAAGAAAAATAGTGTCAAAATTATGTGAAAATTGTTATTATAATTTTAAAAACAGGGGCTAAAAACTCAACTAGATGCTTGTTGCAGTATTTTCAAGTTGGAGACCAGCTTTTGTGCTACTGTGGGTTGAACTTAAGGCCTTAAGCTAGGCAAAGACAGACACTATCACTGATGTTTATTTTGTAACTGTCTCAAGTGTCTGGGAGTGGGTGGGTAAATGGAATTTATCCTCTGCTAAATAGGCTTCAGTTAGCAAGGAAACACCATCAGACTTGGGGGGAAAGGCCATTCTTGTAAATGCTGGCCACACAAGGTTCTCTAAGAATGGCTTAGTTTTCTTTGTGAGCAGTAGAGATGCAACATATGGACCATTCAAAAGAAATGTTTCTAGGTTCTCTGGGCCATCAGGTGCTCAGTTCCTGTTTGGTGTCTGGCAGTCCTGGGGTTCAACAAATGTTCCTACCCAGGGCTTCAGGGTGAGAGACCCTTGGCTACAGCTTCGGAAGCCCTTCAGCATTTCTGAAGTTTGCAGAAGCTAGCCTGAAGCTCCTGGGGAGGGACATGTCGGTGGCATCTGGCTACAGAAGAACCCTTGATAAGTGGGGTTATGGATTTGATTCTAGATGCTTTCAGCAGAGTTCTACTGTCTCCCTTTGGAGTCTTTCCATCTCTGGAGAAAACTTACTCAGAAAATTGCTTTTGGTGCTTAGAATAGATAAGAATTTTATAACAAGTGGTCTGATGATGTATTATTGAAAAAATTAAAACAAATTAATTCCCAGTTTCATGCGATGTGACACCCTTCTCCCAACCCCACCCCCGTTCACCACAGGGAAAAAACTAGCAACTTTTCATCGGTGAAGGAAGTGGGAACCAAAGCCCCCTTTCAAACTTTGCTCCCTTATTTCGTGTCTGTATGGTTTTCATTAGTCTGTCCGGCTAATCTCTCTCCTCCTTTTCCTTCCTAAATATTGTTTTGCACACGGAAATGATTTTAAACCCAACATTTTTGCACCACCCATTCTTTCATCTTATACACGTCCTCCCCCATATTTTCAAAAAAGATGCCCATGGAAGGGCGGTCAGCTCTCTCCAACCCCACCTAACATGAAGTTCCAGGAACTGCTCAAAGCAGTCTTGGTGGCAGTCAGAGAACTGAGGATGCAGAGAGCATATCTGGTTACTTCCTGGACAAGGAAGAAAACCTCCTGCTCTCCTGGGGCCCCTGTAAACTATCACTGGATTCTTCCTGGTTGAAACTCTTTCTGGGGGTTGCCTACTTTGGCAACGACTCTTCAAGTCTTCAGTCCAAGAACGCTGAAGGGTGTCACAGTGGCTGTGGGACAGATGGGAGAGGTTTCCTAGATCCTGGATGACAGGTGGCAGGCCCGGGGCTGGACAAAGTTAGCTTCACTCCCCGGAAATTTGCTTTCTGAAGTCTGACCTTCAGTGGGTTTTCTCTTTTGGTTAGAATTTTAAATTAACGGAGGAGGAACCCTGCCCACGATTGTGAGGGAGTCGGCGAGGAGACGATGAAGGGGCAGCAGTGAACACTTTTCCCAGCCCTGTCTTTTGGAGGCCCGCTATGGACTAGCAGTGGCGTTCTGATGGTGGAGAGTGTCAAAGCTGGGAACTGAAAAGGAAGGGGTGAGAAAGGGCCCTCACGTTGGCGCCATTCAAAGCGACTCAAAGTAAGGAAAACTCAGAAGGGTGGGCGAAGGGCCAATTGTAATAGCGACGCTCTCTAGTACAATATTCTTCTCCGACCTTGGAGAGAAGTCACCAGCCACCGCCCAGCTGGGAGCCTCAGATGCTTAGGACTTGGGCAAACCTACCCCAAGCCGGGCGGATGCGCGCACGCCCACTTGGCGAGCTCCGCCGTCGCCCGGCAACGCCGACGCAGGCCCAGAACAGCTGCACTTGGGAAGGAGGAAAACTCTTTAAACAAATCATTTTGGTGTCTAATCAATTAGTGTTTGCGCAGTCAAGTACCATAGATTTAACAGAATAATCGTTACTGCCCTTGTCTTTATTTGACCCGCAGACACCTAGAAGATTTAAAAATAAAACGCAGGTGTTCTGAGCGCCTGCCCTGTTGCCTGCACCTCCTTCCTAGGCC